GGTGGGGGTGGTGGAAGAGGCCAACGTGGTACATCTACGTTTCCAAAAATAAAATAAGCACATAAATGTATATGCGAATTAACATAGACAAACCATTAAACCATGTTTTATCCAGTGGAACATTAAGCTGACTTTTCAGTTTTACTGAAGTAGGAGAAAGAAGGAAGTAAGAGGGAGATCTTTTTTCGCATTACTGTGCCGTGTGGTGTGGAAAAAGAACAAAAATTCGGGACAGAAAGCAGATTTAATAAATAACCCCCCCAAAGTTTTAGTATTTCTTAAACAAAGGCTTTTGAGAAAACAATCTTCCTTGTCATCCATCCTATTTGACCTTATCGCCTTAAACTTAAATCAAAGCTATGGCATGTCGAGCGCTACATTGCTAATACTTAACTAGGTATAAATTTTTATGGACTTAATATAGTTTAGTTTAGCTTTAGTAAGTTTTACGGCAAGTTGCAACACACTTAGGTCATTCGTATACGTGCCGTAGATTAGAGATGTTACTACAGAGTAGCATACAAAGAAAAGGAGGAAGGGCGAGAGAGATAATGATGATACATAATTTTGTTAGGAAAGAAAGGACAAAGCACAATAGAACGCACACCATCCATGCACGTTTTAATGAATTTATCTTTTCATCTTGTTTGATTTGGTCCTTCTTTTTGGTTTTAGTAAGAGTTTTACGGCATTTGCAACACAATAAGGTCATATAAGTGCCGAAGATTAGAGAGTAACAAACACAAAAATGGAGGAGAGAAAAAGATTATAGATGTTTGATAGGGGAGAAGGAGCAAACCACACCAGAGCACCCGCCAACCACCCGCTTTACCCTTCTGCTGACGTGGTAATAAGATGGCAAAGGAGATGGGCTTGGGGAAGGGGAAAGGGGAGGGAGTGTTTGTTGTTGTTGTTGTTGTTGTTGTTGTTGTTTTCTTTTTTCTTTTTTCTTTTGATTGTTTCATTTATACCTCTATAATTTTGCAACATCACCATTCAACAAGGAGCTTCAAATGAAACGAAAACTGTGAGAGAAGAAGAAGACGCTGCAACAAGTTTCAAACAATTAATCTTTTACAGCTTTACAGCTGGCTAATTACAATGCTTAATTTATAATCACATACATTCTATAATCTTTCTGAAATCACTCAAGCTGGCAGTAAATAGCATGGGTTGCTTAGTTTTGTAAACCAAGCGTCACGTTCAACTGACATAGATACATCACTACATTGACGTTTATTTTCCCGTTATTTTTGAAATTTCAAAGTGTCATTTAAAGAGGAGAACGAACTATTTATTATCTTTAAGTAGTGTAAATTCATAATAATACATTTTTACTTATTTTATATATGTGAGGCAGCGTGGTGGAATCAGACTCTCGTCAAAAATGATCAAAGTGAAGAAATTTGTATTTTTCCGCAGGTTTGTGAATTTTTATCAAATTTTTGTTTTTTGGCTCAACACCTTTCATGCCCATTAAAGAACTAATTTCCGTGTGGATTTTTCTTAAACACGTTGATTAAAGGCACAAAAAATGTAAATTTTCTGTACCACGGATTCTTAAGCTAAGGAAATAACTAATCTTTGGCGGCCATTTTCTCACTAACTTTACCTCTGAACACTGGTAACCCCACCTCCTTCATTCGCAAATATCTCGACTTGTATTCAAGATAAATGGATATTTTTTCATCTTAATAAAAACAAGTGAACAAGCTTTA